CTTTTCGATACCTTGTTCGGGATCGTCGGTCCCGTGAACGATACTTTCACGAACCAATCTTCAGAAAGTATTTTAGAGGTATACTCCCTGTTTCGGTTGATTCGGGACTGATCAGGGCCAAAAAATCCAATTTCACGCATTGGTCGGAAATAAAATGTAATCGCTGACAAGATATTTCCGTAAAATGTAGGTTGTAGTTTTCTAGAATCTTTATTTCGCCAATCATAAGCGGTATAAAATAGTTATTATTGTAAGAAGACTTATTACGGAAAAGAAATGAGGAACCTTTGGTTAAACAAACCTACAAAAAAAATGTGTAAACATCCGAAAGACAAAAAAACACGTTAAATATCGATCGAAAAAGAAAAAAAAATTACAGAAAAAGAAAAATTCCATAGAAGTATATATTAAACCTACCATCTGGTCCGCGTGCACTGCGTCTCGAGATCGGCGTGTCAACAACTTCGACGTTACGCCGAGAGCCACCGAAGACCCGAATAAAAATGACTCCGGCTGTGGGGGACGCGGACCCACGTTGTTTGAGAACATTTACTGTCACCAAAGTGAGTACATATTACCTTTGGTTTTTGTATTTAAATATTATTATTTATTGTATTTACGTCTTGTCGGCGCGTCCCGTTATGACTTCTGGCAATAATAACTACGATTTAACGGTTTTCTTATTGCGTGTGTGTTCCGTGTAGAAATTCGTCGAAAATTTTAGCCGCGAGTCGAACACCGAGTACACTGGCACCAACATTACCGCACGGCATTGCTTCATGCCCGTGTTCGTAGACGCGTATACGAGCGATATCGAGCCGCACCTTGTGGCTCTTCCCGTCGTCCGAAAAGTCATTCTGGGCCACGTGGCACACCACCGAGCTGGAAACAATCATAACCGGGTCTTTCCTGCACACTTCAATGGTGAGGTTTTAAACATCGCGGTGGTTCTTTGGTAGGCGGCGCATAGTTCTCACCACCGCTCTCAAGCGACCATTTTGCCGGTCCATACTAACCGTACCGCCCTCCCGTTATTGATATTTTCCAGACACGAGCGATTGGACTCGCCCGGAAGATTCCCGATTCGATGAGGGCCGAACGGTAACGAAGATCACGCTTGGCGTTGCCAAACAAGCCAAAGAACCGCAACTGAAACCTTCGGATGAAGCCACGGCCGATTATAAAACTGACAACGATCACGCATCGTATACGTTTAGTCGATCGTAACATCGTCACCGGTTTGCGGTTGAATAGTTAAAAGTTAGTTTATTTTTTTTTATGCTTAGTTAGTTTGTTACTTTTAGTTGTAGTTTTTTTTTTATTTTTATTTTTAATATTTCTTTTATCAATACTAAGTACTTGGAAATAATTTGGGGTATTAGTGATAAAATTCTTAGGTTAAGTAAAAAACAGGCATATTTTCTACGTTTTTTTTTTTTTTTATGCTAAATTTTCATTTTCATCGAAAGATAATTGCTAAAAACTAGGTTTTTTTATTTATCCTAGTGATAGAGATATATATTTATTTTTAATATTTTATTTTAGTTTCTTGTTTAATATTTTTGTGGGCAGGGATATTGGTAATTACCAATATCCCTGTATCCCAATAATATTACAATAATTATTGTCTCGTTGAGCAATATAAAATCTTGTCAAAAATTGTTTATTAGTTTTAGGTGGAGTTGTAGTGACGGTTACTTTGGGTTCATAGTCCCAGTAACTCACGTCACACAATTCTATAGGGAATGTATAATAATATGTTGTGTGGAATGAGGTAATGGCGTGTATAATAATGTTATGGTATTTCGTATTAATTTGTTTTAAATTTGAGTCTTATTTTTCTCCCTAATTCGCTTTCTTTTTTTTAACAAGGCTTTTTTTTTTTAACTATACAATTTTATTTCTTGTCCTACTCTTTTCTTTACGGATTAAGGGATGTTAAAATATTTCATTTTTTTCGAAATAACGCGTGCCATTTCTCGATGGAATCTTGAATGTAAGACAATTTTTTTTTTTTTTTTTTTTTTGAACAAAAACATTTTACTGGTTTTGACGATTCTATCGAACACAGCAGGACACACCATATATTATTATACAACTTAGTTTAATGCTATAGGTTTATTTGTTCTCTGATTGGATGGGTCTCATCACAGAATCATAACATATAGGTTAAGTTAAAAAATTAGGAAAACACGTTTTTGAACGGTAATGGATATAAAATGGCTTCAAATTAGATATCCACGAAAACTCAAACCGGTTCGCTCTGTCGTCCCATCGTTTCGTGGATGTAAGTTTAGGTTAAGTCTAGGCTAAGTTTGATTCTGAATTTTTTGTTCTAAATTGCTTCTTTTTAAAAGGAATCGACGTAATTGTCCTCTTTGACACCGCTATTCGCTATAAAAACATAATTATGTATAGGTTATGTCTTCGTACATAATTTTCTTCTATTCTTATGG